TTATAATTCACTTCATACCGTAGCATGCTGAGCGGGGCTTTTCCTCCATCCCTTATGATTTCTTAATTTACCCAGAATGACCTCCTAAAGATTGTTTCATTCTGATAAGAGCCCTCATGCTATTACAGAGAAACTGAATAAATATAATCTAATTCTTACCAGACAATATTGGCAAATGGAGGATCAAATTAGATGCAATATCAAAAACGCGGGGTCACTTTGTTTCAAGGATTAATATCATCAGAGCTTATCAGCTGATGCATGTATGCTGCTACCAGAGATGCTGTTTTGTAGCACTACTACGAGATAAAAACAAAAAACAACGATATTTGTGTCGAAAAAGACAACAGCAATATGTTGTTTATGGCGGCTTTTCTGGCTCAGTTAGATCATCTGAATGATACTTGTAGTTGTTACTGATGTATTATTTTTGCCTCTTCATAGCAAATATGACTATTCTGTTCTGGACCTAATATGAACACTTGTACAATCGATTATTTCTGGGATTGCTTCCAGAGTTGAGGGAAGGTACTGGACCATGTCAGTCCTGTGAGAAGGAGACAGTTCAGTTCAATATAGCCATAGGGAACCAGGCTTTATTATTATTATGGTGTGCAAGACCATCCAACAGTAAGTTGGAATTCATGCCTCAAAAAGAAGTGGATAACCTTTAACACTACAACATATTAACGTACGTTTTTACAGTGTAGTCTGGATTAATGGTTTTTAAATATTACTTTTGTCGTCTTTAATCCTACAACAACAGATTTTTTTGAAAACATTGACACATCATTTTTAACAGTTGCCTATTTAGGGGCCTTTCACATTCTGCGTTTTTTGCACGGTAGGTGTGTTTTAAAGGGAGAGCGACACCATAACGGCGCACAGGCTGAGATAAAATAGTTCAACTTTTGGAACGCTACAGTGCGTACCTCATGTCATGTGACGAGAAACAACCAATTACAGCATGCCCATATCTTTTGTTCCTTCCTTAATTAGCAGTCTATGGAACCAACTCCTGAGGCTAATATCTGGTTCTTTAGATGCTAAATGCTCCAATATGTTACCAGCTCGTTGCATATCTTGTCTGTCTGCTGTTTGGTGCTGAGCATGTGGGTTCTTAGAATTTTTATTCATTCAAAAACAGCTGCCTGCTAAAATCAATGCTCATGAGAGCAAGGAAATTGAACCAAAACACAAAAGTTGCAGGCCTGAATATCACAACAATTAACTATAAAATAGAGTTGAGGGAAACTGCAGTTGGTTGTGGGTTTATCACGATGAGAGACCCCCTTTTAATTTTAGCCTCTTTGTGGTACACTAACTAATGTTGTTATATCACCCATTAGCGTGTCAATATTCTAAAAGTCAGCATATTTCATACTCAAGTTTTGAATCGGCATCAGTGAACAGGTAGGGTGCCTTGACATTTTTTGATTCAGTTTAACGTAATCCAATGTTTACATTCAATTTCTTCATCATGTCAGCTCATGATCCATCTCCACTCAGTGTTACATGCTCAGACACGACCCCTCCAGGCGTTGAATAGCAGCAGCCTGCTTCGCCTTGCACCCAGGAGGAATTTTCAATCTAAGGTGAGATCCCATCAATTTTCACAACATAGCGGGGATGGATAAAAAAATAAATCAAGATGGGATTTGGAAAATGCTTCACAACAGGCTTTTTGGAAGGAAGTGATGAATTTCCTTGTCCTGACATGCTGTTGTCACCTTTCAGAACTGTGGCCACATCATGAGCCTTTATCAGAGAGCGTTTTTAATGGTTATATCGAAAAAATCACTTTCACAGAGCCAGGCTTGAGTTTAGCCTCACAATCACACATCAAAGTCAGAGCTCGATTCAATTTTTCTAGCATCAAGACATTTTCTATTTTGAAATAGTTTGAAATATAAGTGCATTTTCTTTTACCCCTGACAAAGGTTAGCTTGGCGGGAAAAAACGTTCTATATCAAAACTTTGCACCACTGTTTAGTTAGTTAATTTGATATTATTCTATTTTTATTGTATATATTTTTATATTCAATATTTTTTATTTTACTACTCTGTTACTTTGATTGCTTACCTGTACCATAATGCTGCTGTAGCGAACAAAGTGATGGTTCTGGTCATTTGGGAATAAGAGGATGTCAAAGTAATGGCTTGTTTAATTCTTAATCAACTCAGCGGGCCCACTTTTACACTGAATGCCGCTTTTAGGAGCAAGCAGCACATTCTGTTTGTACTCCCACACATTTGGCTGTCAGAAATAGAGCCGCACAGTGCAGATGGTAGGAGGCTTTCGGGAGCCAAACCAGCCATCAGCAAGCAGACTTATTGATTCTCTGTAGCCCGAGAGATACAAAAAGCAACACAGAAGCAACGATTGGGGCAACTGGAGTGTCTAGTGAAGGGTCTGAATATCTTTAAATGAGCATACCTTCACAAACACACGCACATTACACACACACATTCTTTCTCCGACATGAGAAACAGATGCCACCCTCCTCGCTTTTTCTCATCTCCAACCCACCCACTCCATACAAGATTACCCAATTTCTGTGAATAACCCACAAACAACTGTTTCCTTCACACATGACACAAGCTGGCTGTAGTGTGGCACACACAGACAAATGCAGATGTAGGTTTCTGAATTCCTCCGTGTCTACTTCATGAGCTCTGCTCCTTTAGGGAAATAATGGCTTATGAGCCTTCCTGTAAGCTGCAGCCTTGATTTCCTGCCCAACGTGTTTCATTCCTCTTCAAATCATTAGCGAGCTTGAAGTACAGGACTTGGCAAAGTGCTCTGTAAACATTTTGATGATAGATTTTTTTGATATGTTCTCGCATCTTAAAACTGATACTTCATCCAAAATGTAGCTTTTTTTTAATCAAACACTCGCTTCCTGTTGGTTTAATCGATTGTTTGTAGTTTAACCTCTCACACAGAGCGGCTTGGATTCATTTCATTCACAATGGATTGTGATAAGTCCTCATGGCACAGTATAAATCATCAAACAACCATGAGATCGAGTGCACACGGTCATAAATAAAGCTTTTAATAACATGCAGCGACGACCATTTCAACAATCGGCATGTCTTCTTCAGATGAAGGCCATGTGTTAAAGCACCGGTTCAGTGTGCTCAGATCCCCTTTCTCATGCAGCATTATATCGTGTTCCAAATACTTTCAGTTGGGTTGAGGCTCAACATATTTAAACGTATATACAAACACAAGCATCTAGCTCTGTGACACTGTTAAAGTGAGAAACCGTTTATACTGTATTTACCCCATGACTCTCAGTATGTGCTGTTGCTTTTTTTTCTAGAATTGCTCATACAAACAACTTCACATTCAAAACTGATTTAATTTTTGGCGGCGAACGTTATAAGTTAGTATGGCGAAACGTACACAATTTGAGTTGCAACGACACTGCTCCTGTCGGCTATACGCTCATGCTTGTTGACTCCGGGGAAGTGAAGAAGAGTTCAGTTAGTATATCCAGCATCCAGCAGGAAAAGGGAACTGCAGTCAATGAGCCACAGCCACTTGCAGGCCTGCAGCCGAGGACATACTGTGCAGAGCCCTGAAGCCTCGCTGCTGCACAGTGCTGTTTATTCAAAGTTTATTCGTTTTGATATCAATATTGTCCAAATTGCACCAATAGAGATTCGTTGCTTCAATAGTTAGATACTGCTTTTCCATTCTTAGTGTTCCTAAAATACCTTATATTAGTGTTTTGTGACCTGCCACCTACAGTGTGATGGACTGATTAAGTTTAGGAAACTAAAACTACATGGTTAGGGTTATGAAAAGATCATCCTCATGGTTGAAGGAATAGTTTGACATTTTGGGAAATATGGTGATTTTTTTTTTTTTTGCGATAGTTTGAAAGTAATTTATACCATTCTCTTGTGCTGGATTATATCTTGGCCAGGAGCAGTAATTCCCTGGACTCTCTCCTGGATCCAGCACATAACCTTCCTGTAAAACAGAGAATGTTATTAATCTTCGCATGTAACGCTTGACAAGAAACCAAATAAGCGTATTACTCAAAATGTCAAACTATTCCTTTAAAGGAAACCAGCGTCTGCCTCTTGTTTCAAAGTCACATACTTTGTATGCTCAACACACCAACTCTCTCCTTAGACGTTCTGTGACGGTATTATTTGTAAGAGTATGCTTTTAAGGAAAGCGTAAACAGAGGTCATTTAAACTTTAGGACAAATTACTGAAGCTGCCGATGTCCTGGTGAAGACAGTCTCCATGGAAAAATAGATAACTGGACTATATAAGCTGCGTATTTATGTTTATGTTTACTATAACATTCATCACATTTGTTGAAACACGTCTTGTTGGCAGTCCGCTCATACACTGCCAACAGTGAACTGATGAGAAGCTAATGTTGGAGGGAAACTCATTTGTAATTAAGCGGCAGGTGTGTAGTTTTCTAATTTCATCAGGAAACCCATTAGCTTTTGCATTAAACAATCTCATCTCAGTGAATTAGTGTCTCAAACATGACTGAGTCCCTTATTTTCCCTTAAATGTAATACATTAGATTAGCTAAAAGCTCATTTTCATCTATAGTTTTGTATCTGATGTGTTCGCGCAGTTGTCATGGATCTGTACTTACTATAGGTTAAGACTTTTCAATAATATTTCATAACATGACTGACTATTTTATAGATACAAGGGGGGAGAAAATGATATTGAAACGTTCCCTCGGGTTGAGTCAGCAGTACTTATCGCCCATCTATGTTTTGCAGTTATTAGGGAAACTAACAAATACATCAATGAAAATACTGGACGCTATTTTGTGATATTATGCCGTTCATGTACAGGACAAACGTTATAGTCACAGAAATGTGTCTTGTTTTTTTTTTACAACGGAGAGAGAACAAAGACAAAAGACTATTCAGAACAAGTCAACAAATATCTATGAATCGCTCGCTATGGATCTTCTTACAAAAGTCAAACTGTGTTTGTGTGTCTTGAACAGGTGTGACCATGAAGCTGATGGATGAGGTCGCCGGCATTGTGGCAGCTCGGCACTGCAGCACCAACATTGTCACTGCCTCTGTGGATGCCATCAACTTCCATCGCAAGATCAACAAAGGTGAGGATGACAGGGAGAATACACTCAGAGCGTCACTGATACATTGATGGATATGTACCTCCAAAAGATGCACTGTGGTGTTGGTAAAAGGCTGCAGGTTTCATGATGCTGCTCGTCTTTAACTTGTGACTCTTGCCCATTAATAAACTGCACTATCGAAAAAACGAATTACATGATAATGTGGAAAGAGTCAGCGGTCTATAAAGTCAGCCTCAGACAGTGCTGTTTTAAATTGGGCTAGCCAACATCAACAGCTGTCACACTGATGCTAATCAAGGCCCGTTTTGTTTCGTAGGGCTGCCACTACATCTGGAAAAACATAGCATTGTTATAATTTAACATTTTCCATTACCAGGCTTTGTCTCTATGCTGTTTCCTCACTGTTAAAGTGAGATATCATTGATACTGTATTTTCAACACCTCTTGCCCTCTATACGGACAAATTCTAAGCCTCTCATTGTAAAGTTCTTTCAAGGATTTTGACAACACCATTATCCACTTAGCCTTTGACATCTTAATAGGAAGGAAATTGTCTCACTGTAGTGGTAGAATATATACGGCTTTTCCATTCTGACAGTTGAAGGCTAGGTTAAAGGTTTTATTTGCAACACAGTTTGGACAATACAGTTAATCCAAAGTGCTTTTCAGGGCATTTAGGAGCAAAGATGAAGTACAGAAATCAAAGAAAGAACAAACATACAGATACACACCCACAGACAAACTAGATCAGAACTAGAGTGTTGCACTTGTTTCTTCACTGATTCCTAATATAATTAATAACGTGTATTTTACCACTGAATTACCTTATCAGGTTTCTTGTTGGCCTAGTGGACCTGCTGTATGTTGGATTTCATCATATCTGGCTCTCTCTCTCTCTCTCTCTCTCTCTCTCTCTCTCTCTCTCTTATGTTTTCTCACAATAATTTCACAGTAAACTCTCCAATAAAGGTGAAACTGAGCATCACAAGCTCTTACAAATGAAAGAAACAGTTTGCACACAACAGAAAAACATTTTGACTCCCGATGAATATGACTTGAGTAGTCCGATTGAAATGCTTTTGAAATAATAATTATCAAACACGGTTAGTGAGGGAAAATATCGAAGAGCAAACCGCATTTTGACATTAGGATTGTGAAGCAATTGATCATTCGTCTCGTTCATTAGTCTTTCATGGAATCCAAATATGTCAAATATGACAGCAGCCTCTTGAAAGTGGTGTAGAACAGTGCATTACTTTTATGGGCTTTTCTCAGCTCAGTGTCTGTTTTATGTATCCATGCGCTGGAGATGATGTGATCCAGACATCCAGGGCTAAAATTCTGAGGTTATGATTATCTTAGGATATTACGTCAACATAGGACCAGCTACTTCTCTCCCCATTGTTGAATTGTGAAGTGGAAAGCAAATGTTATATAGTTCACAGCTCTGCAAGTGTGCTAGGTCAGCTGTAAGTCCACGGCATTTGCAGTTCATGTCTTTTCAAATACAGGTGCCTTTATTCAAGCGGGATAATTCACTCAATCCAAAAGTGTTTTTTCAAGGAGGCCTGAGTAAAGAGCGAGTGGCTGAAAAGGATTTTCAGAGAGGGGACGTTTAAAACATTTAACACGCACCTCCCTGTGTTTCAGGAGCAGAAAACCGAACAGTACAGATTGGTTCAGATCCATGTCCACATCTTTCAGCTGCTTCTAGTCGCTCCAGTTGCTGCCACCGTCTGTCCTGTGAGTTTAGGTGGTGGTGACATGATTTCCCCTGGCTTCCACAGTGACTTAGGTGTTATGTCACCAGTAGATTTCCCATTTTGCTCAAGGTGGTCACAAAAAAAAGCAAGTGGTCTGCTTCGGAAAGGAATGGTCAAGAAACAAAACAACAAACAAACACAACTGGCATTGTGGGCTGCACCTCTATCTTTTAATTGTATGAAGGAAATAGTTTTCCCTTTCCATTATTTACTACATCAAGCTAAATGTAGATACTATCACATGGCTTTCAGATATTTCCAGCACAGCTGCAGTCGAGGTTGAAGTTTAAACTCTTTAAAGGATCCAAGTGGTTTGCATCAGGCTTTGTTGTGTTTTAGTCCCTCACAATAAAGGGCAGAAAGAGTAAATTAATTCATAACTTTTGCTCCATTTAATGTAAAAGCTTGCTGAACGCAAGAGATCAAAAAATCACGTAGGAGCATTTTTATAAAAAAGGCAAAAGCTAATTTATTTGTAAAGCCCAATTCATACACTTTCAAAGCACTTTACATCTATTTAATATAAATAAATTGACTTCATTGAATGAACAAAATGGCTAAGGTGCCACACAAACCAGTGTGAGGCTAGAGGACCACACACCAGCAGACACAGACAAAATGAGCATTAAATAAAGCGAGATTGGACGTTAAGACCCAGAACATTAAACAGAGCGAGGTCTGTGTCTGCACATTGCTCATGTGGAGGATGTTCAGATAATTTGTTTAGAAGCATTTGGAGGTCCTGCTGTGTATAGCCTGAACAGTTCACTTAATTAATTGCCCAGATTTTCAGTCTGGTGGGGTCCAGCAGCTGAAATATCACTTTAGAGCAGCACTGGTTAATGCAAACAAGTGTCATCAGAGAGAAGAAACACACAAGACCTGCATTTAAACTGCAGAAAGAATTAAGCTGTGTTTGAGAATGAACAAAGCAGTTTAACATTAACAAAGCAACATAACACTTCTTAATTTGCAAGGTCAGAGATTAATAAAGATCCCAGATGTTAACAATAAGACAGTAATTGCATTTGCAATGTATGTTTGCAATTATACAAATGATTCAATTAAGTTGAGCAAGAATGATGTTAATGTTTTCTTTTATTTACTCATGTGTTTTCCTATCGTATCCCATCTCACTCCTCATTCGTCAACGAATTAACAGTGACAGTTTTCCTCTGTTGCGTTTGTAGTTTACCATTATCTTGTCTGTGACACTGTTCATTTGCATGTTTTGAGATGAAATGCTTGACTAAACAGAGCTAAAGCATCAATGTCCCACTGAAATGACATCTATGTTGAGTGGATTGATTTTCCTTCTCAAAGACGTATGAATAGTTTAACCTTGGTGTCAAACTCCAGCCTGAGTGGAGCTGCGACACTTCGTTGAGTCTTCCAAAACATCACAAAATGGCAGCAGTCATGTAACCGTTTGTGAGTCACTTGTTCATTAGTGTCTTTTAAGGTTCTGCTCCTTCACAGAGAAGTGTTTCATTTTTACACCGCAGAGTAAAGCAACTGCGATGTTGCACTGAACAATAATGTGTATTATTCTGCACTGAGAATATAAATCAGTGAGGTGCTGGCCATTGATGTACCACAGGAGTGTTTTCAGTCAGTGCTCTTCTCCATTATCTACAACAGCAAAATGCCCAGAGGTACAAAGAAGCAGAAGAAAGGCATAAAACTGAAAGGAGATGTTTTATGGAGAGAGAAGGGACTGCCAAAGGTGAGAGAGGAAGAAATAAGAGGGAACAGTGTTGCATTATGAATACTCACACTTGTGTTCTTGTTCATTTTAGATTTCATGTCATTGATCCAGCATGAGATTTGACATTTCTAAGTACAAATTGCTCAAATAACTAACGACAGTAGAATTTAAATCAGGTAGTTCCTTTTTAGTAAAGATACAGTATAGTGTGTCTGCATATGAGACACTTTCTTTGATTCAAAAGAAACAATTGTGTTGCCCTAGAGGGTTTCTGGAGAAGTTGTCAGAAGTGAGGGCTGTTGTTTCACCTGCATTGCCTTGTGTCCTTTTTTTTTGCAGTCTTCTCTGGTCATTTATGCAAACATGCAATTTGAAGCTTTTTTGTTGATAAAAAGAATGTAGAACAAAGAAAATACCATTCTGAGTTGTTCTTTCTTTTTCACAGCCGGAGAAATATATTCACTTTGGTCCAATTGCGATAGAAACGAGTCGTAGAAAAAGCTTTACTCACGCAGACTGTAGTTAAAATAGCAAAGCTATGGCTCAAAGGCATTACAACCCCAGCTTAGTGCAGACAACACGAGGCTCTGGCATGGACCCTCCTCACAGCAGTTTAGCTTTATCAAACTGCTCCTCCGAGATGAGACTCTGCCAGTTTTTCAGGTTGGCTGACCTTCAACGCTGCACATGTCCAAGATCTACTCTCTACATGAATCAATTATTAATCATGAAGGCCTTTAAAACAAAACCGCCCAGTCTCATCAAGGCTCATTTTTTTTGTGTAATGTCATTGAGCAGAGCACGCTTTATTGAGCCGAATACATCTGTGCCAGAGATAGTTTACCTGAATGACACTGGATTCGCTCCCGGCAGTAACATGTAAAAAACAACAACAAAAACCTCAATAACAATGGAGAGAACTGCCAGAAGTATTCTTGCACTTTGATTTTGAAAAGTTGCCAAAGGAAGTCTGTTAAATATGTTTTAAGAGCAGTAGCCAAAGGCAGCAACACATGTTTTAGTAACAGTTAGTGTAACATTTGCAATAGTGATTACCACCCCACACGTCAGTGAAGTATGTGTTAATATGACTGAGAATTTTCAGTACGTATTGGGTTGCTTTTGTACACTAAGATACATTTTTTTTTCTCCACATTTCCTCTGGCAAGCTCCACTCACAGATGATTGTTACCAAATGAATTACATTGGCACATGTCTTGTAAACTCTTCCTCTTCTCTTAAAATCTACTCAAACTTTCCACCAAGTCTTACTTCAGGGACAGAGCGGGATGTTTATCAGAGCCTTCAAAACAAACCATATGTTACAAAATCAACTATGAGCGTTTTCTGTTCTGCTCTAGTTATCGTTGAGGCCGAGTTAAGCACAACATAAAACAATCTGGTTAAGGTTCAAGAAGGATGGTGCCCACGGTTAAGGTTAAACTAGCATTGGTGTAATGGTTAAGGAAAACAAACACTCGTTCGCAGGAGACGGAAAGCGAACTATGATCTCTGGTGTCAAAGTCACACAATTTGTTCACCCAACTATCGTCCTCTCTTGTGTGGCGGCACTTGTGCATTGCCACTGACAGAGTACAGCCGTTAATCGCATGAACTGCGAGAGCTGTAAATTGAATCATTTGAACAGTCAATGTTGTCTTTTTACTACGATGAGGACGGCCTTTAATCTCAGAGTCTCCTGCATGAGTGAAGAGCTCCATCAATGGACAACTCCACTGACATTTTAAAATCTCATTTTTGAGAATTAGTTTACAGCTTATACTTTGATAAAAGCCTTTTTTCATTTTCAATATAGATATGTTATTATCTTTGAGTGTTTTATAAGATCTCAGTCATCGACTCCAGATCTGTCTCAGACTGCAGGAATAACACCTTCTTTCCTCGTCTCTATGGCAACAGCAGTAATAACACAGTATGGGCACATGAAATAGGATAAAGACGCACTTCAGCAATGCCCGGTCCTATTAGTTGACTTTTTTTTACCCCTCCCTGCGGTGACAAATAGGAGAAGAGCACTTATTTCTGATGACTCAAACGCACTAGATGGATCAGATGGAGGACGCAATCAAAAGAAAGGGTCGCAAATGCTCTGCAGCAGTGCACATGACGTGGCCTCTTAATTTGTGGTTGTAAGCATTAAAACCTAAAAAAAAGATTTTGACTGCAATGCAACATTATTTTTTTACCTGTTTTCTAACTTCTCTGTTTTACTTTAAGCACACATAAACAAGCTTTATTTTGGAAGGTCCTACTTTGTATTCATCTGAAAGGCTTGCAGTAGGAGAGACTGATTGGCTGTAGTTGTTAAATTCTTCCAGCCAGAGATCAGCGCCCTGCTTCGCTCTGCTCTCCATGGCTGGAACAGACTTAAATGAGTTCATGATGCAACATTGTGAGGTAGATTGCAAGAGCAGATCCTGCATTTCCCTCGGCTGACTATATCACTATACCAGCTCATAGCTATACATGAAGCTCCTTAGTTTGATATCAGCTTAGCATTACTAGTCAGTGTTGACTCAAAGTTTTCAGGTCAATTCAAACTTCAGTCATTTTGGTGTGAGATAGTTGCGACACTAGTCGCAACTTTATTTACCTATAGATGGCCGAAGGACAGAGTAGCTTGAATCAAACGTGATGATTTTAAAACATTACACCAGTATACTGCATGAACGACAAACATATACATGTCAAACGTATTTTTCTTCTGTTTATTGTCCTCTTCCCTAGGCTGTGTGGTGACGGTGACGGGGCGGCTCACATTCGTCAGTAACAAGTCTATGGAAATTGAAGTGTTGGTCGACGCTTCCTCGCTGGTGGAGGCAGATAAATATCGTGCTGTCTCTGCCTTCTTCACCTTCATCTCCCTGGACAAGGACAATAAACCTCTGTCTGTCCCTCCTCTTAAGGTTGGTACCATCCAGTCTTTCTAAAGTCTGTCTTTCATTTGATCCTATACTTCATTTTGTATCCACACACGGGGTACATTTACATAGGTGTTAAAGAGAGTGAGAGTCAAACATGGATTATTTGATGCGTCCACCAAGTACGGTGTAGCTTACTTTGAGCTCATATTTAAAAACTTGGCCGTGGATTTGCTTCTGCTGACACCTTTAAGGTCTATGCACCCTTTTTTGGTTTTGTGGGCTCTGATAAAAACTTGTCCTTGGAACTAACAGAAAGAAATAACACAATGAAACACAACATTTACTTTACAGAGCAAACTAAAATAAGTTATATGTAAAAACATTCCTGCTTTAAATTGAACTTGACTCAGTGTAATTTGTTACTTTCACTCCTGGTATATAAATGTAAGTTTAAAGAGTTAAAGTTACATCCCAATTGAATGTCTTCTTCTTATTCAGTAATTCAACCTTCAGTTTCTCTACTTTTGCCCTGCTCGTCACATTCCTTCTGTCAGTGACACCTGTGACCTTTGGAAAGCTCACAGCATGAGAGACACTGTCCATAATTTCGCAATTTTGCACGTCGTCAGTGTCTTTTCAGTGCATTAAATAATTTGCTGTGTCTGCACATTAGCCTTTAGCAGTGAGGGCTGAATGCTAATATCTCAACAACATCCCTGGACATCTATGTCTGCATGGCTGACTCAGCACTTATTGCCAGGATGTAAAGTGGACATGTTTACCTGCAGACAGGAGAGATGCCTGCTGTTTGTTCTGGCTTGGCAGTACTTGTTGATCCAAACCCTGTTTAAATGCAAACACTGTACGCGCAGGCCATCTGTTTAACATTTAAATTATTTCCTGGCGCCATTCGTACTCCCTGATTGTATTTGTGACGATCCCTTTAAAACTCGTCCAACTATTCTGTGAGATGCGAGGGATTCAGGCAACAAAGGGGCCATTACAATGGCATTCAAAGCACTTAATAAAGTAATCAGTGGGTTGCAATTCGTTGTAACATCAAATGAATTAACAATAATCTTTATTTTGTGACTCAATTCATATTCTGTTGCATGTCTTCGGACATTTTTTTGTTTTTTGAATGGTTGTTGTTTCACAATATGGTATGAACCAGCTTCTTGATGAATTTGGTAATGATAGCATTTACGTTGTTTTGATTTGTAGTTGAGCACCACCCCTAACAATGTATATGAGCTAGGGATGCACAAATCCGACTTGTTCAGTCCCGATACCTGGGCTTTGGGTACCAAGTATCAGTCCGACACCAGCGTTTCATTAATAAGCTGCATGCCTCAATGTGTGGAAGTGACTGAGATCATTATTTTTTATGTAAGGCAACATTGCCTTTCTATTTTTCAATTTTTTATTAAAATAAGAATTTGTTTAATAAGAATTGTACATCAGCAAATTGGTCCAATTTTCAGTACAGCATGGTCTGAATGGGCAGCTCCAGAGAAATTGAACAGACCAACAGCAGGTAATTGTTCTCACAAGGGCACACTTGTACAAAATTCTGAGAGTTTGCACTTGGGCTAATCATTACACTTTTAAGTATCTGCAAAGTACTGAGTAAGCCAGGAAAATATGTTCAAAGTGAAGACCAAGCAGCAATATTTTGAGTAATAGCTATCAAGCACAAAGCTGTTTTCTGGGTTAGCCTCCCTCGATCCTCTTACTTCAACCGGAATGACAAACCAAAGCATGTAGGAAATGTTTAATAAAGTATGTAAACTACTAATTGCAGTCTAAGTCGACCTAAGATCCTAACAGAATAGTGGTGCATATCAGCAGGAAGGAAACCAAGCTTGGCCTTAACTATGAGAATGAAGCACGGATGGTTGTTATAGGTGGGTTGTCATGCCGCCAAGTGCTGCATTGACCCCTCTTACCATAAACATTAACACACTCATGAAGGCGCAAGCATCAGCCTTCAACACCATGACACATCTATTTGAAAACAGACTCCTCTCCTTCTGCCCCTGCCAGACTGATACGTATGTGCATCTAATGTGCGTCACCGCTCGTCGGCCTTTTCAAAAGAGCCCGTCAGTCTTCCCCATTTCCATTTCACAAAAACCCGTGTTTGGTTTGCTCCATTGTCTGCCTCCGTCCACGCATTCATTACCTGGTTTTCCATCTTGCACAAGCTTTTGTTTTAATGGCAGGGAATTGCAGCGATGATTAGAGTCATTGTAATTTCTCTGCTCACCTCAATTTTATGAAAAGAGAGGCAAAAAAAAAAAAAATATCTCCTGGCAATTTTAATAATTCATCCTCAACACTATAAATGGAAATCTAAAAGGAGGCATTGCTGCCAGGGCTCTGATGTAGCATGTCAGATAAACAAAGGCAGGAATAGAGAAATCTGTGTGTGTGCATAAAAATGTTGGATAAAGATGCAATATAGACCGACTGAATGTTTGTGCAGAACAAAGACAAATAAAGCTCTAGTGCATGTAGGTTTGTGTGTGACGGAGCGGGCTTTGTGTGTAGAGTTGCACATGCATGAACAAATCACTGAGCACCAATTGCGTGTGTGTTTATTCATATGAGTGAGAGGAGGACAAGGCTTAATCGGGGCTATTTCTGGCTTTATCATTTACTTGAACATGGAACAAGTGTCAAAACAAGGGAGTGACCATCTAAACTCTATTGATGAAGCTACACCTATTCTTAGATGTCAGTTCCTTGGTGTTTAATCACATGCAGGAAATAAGGTTGAACACGTCAATCCAATTAACACCTGGAGATGGGACTGTGAGGAAAGGAATGGAAATGCAATGATGACATTAATTAGCCTATAAGCCAAATAATGCTGAGTTGAACAAAGCGCGACAAACATTTGGCTTCCCCGTCCTACGATTTTAATTTTACCCCAGGAAATCTACCATGTATTATTCTCAGCAGTCCTATCAAATAGCATTTACTTGTTGTTATAACAGATTTCCCCCCTCAGCACTCGGCACGTATCAGACTAGATACTCCTGCACACAATCTCCTGTAAAACCAAAATGTGACATTTTTACTTCTCAGTTTTTGAATGAACAAACAAGATATGTTTATTTAGTGAGCTCTAGAGAGGCTGGTAGTCGGATTTTGTTCCCTTTGGGCAGTGCCAGTTAAGCTGTTTCCATTCCTTTTTGCTAAGCTAAGCTAACCATGGCTGCTGGCTGTAGCTTCATATTTACTGTGTACAGTCTTCTCATCTGACTCTTGGCAAGAATTTGAAATAAGCTCATTTCCCAAAGTGCCAAACTATTTCTTTAACTATTTATTTAATATTCAGAGCATTAATCTAGCAGCAAACAAGTGTTATCTAAAGATATAGTGGAGTAATGTCTACCTGAGCAGAGAATGAAGTCGCTCTTCCTCTGTGTGTGTTGTTATACGGCGGTTACAGATGATAATGCCGTCCAGAGCGATGGAGTTTTTATGAAAGAGTAGCACCCACCCTCTGGTTCCCCCTCAGGTAAACACTGTCAGCTCCGTCAGCTCTCTTGCAGAGTTTGCACTGTTAGTGCTGTTAGAGCCATTAGCTCTCAGGCGCCATGTTGAGACGCATCGAAATGCTCCAATCTGGGATCTTACACCTTTAAATATCACTCCAAGTTATCTTGTATGATCCTCGCACCCTATTATGAAACAAATATACCAAATACAATGTTTTTCTACTATTTGATTCTAGTGAGGAGGGTTTTCAACATGTGCCTCAGAACACTGTGACTGTGAAACCTTAATATGTATCACCTGTGTTTGCACTAAGATACAATTTTTATAGTATTTCAGAGGGTCAGGTTGAGTCTCCTCCTCCTCTTTAAAGTATTTATATTGTCACTGAATATCTTATCTTTCTTTTCACCAACTCCTGTTCAACTGTAACATCAAAACAAGTCCATGTCAAACCTTATGCTTATGAAATTTTCATGACATCGCGGCAGATTTTGCTCCAGTTGTGTTCTAGAAATAGCATGATCGAAAGGACGGCTTCTGCTATTTTTGACTGCAGGTTGATTTCCCCCCCCGTTCTCTTATCCTCGCTCTCTCCTTCAGTGAACCCGTTGTGTTGACTATTTTTAGATTTTCCCGTTTTAGCTCAGCAAGGGGGGAGGGGGGGGGGGGGTTGCCACCAACGTAGCACACTGTGGGTAATGCTGAAGTGGGGAAAGAGGACAGCATGAAGCAGAAGGGAGGATATCGGGGGATGCCTCGCCTCTCTGCGGCAGTACCCTTGAAAAGTACTGAAATAATGTATTTGCACGCTTGGCCAGTGGAGAAATAATCGAAGCACCTTTGACCAGCGTATGTCTTTGTTGTGTTTCTGATGATTTTTAGTGGGGTAACAGTCGCCTCAAGGTTTGAAAAACTGGCTTGTTACCAGAAGGTCAGCACTTTGAATCCTCGGCCAGTGGCCAGTGCATACTGAATACCAGCTGTTGGTGGAAGTCCTTCTGCAGAGGCATTTAGGTTATACAGTTAATAAGTGAATTAATTCATTGTGAACATATGAAGGTTTTGGTACTTAGATCTTGCTTTCTTTTCATTCCTCTTCCTTCTTGTTCAGTATGTCATAATACCTCTCCTTCCTCCCTTCTTCTATTCTTGCTTCATTTCTTACTTCTTCCGCCTTTATTCATCTTTCCTGCCCTCCTCTCTTTATTTCCATCCCCCCTCACCCTCTTTTCTCCATCTCTCTCCCTCCTCCTTCGTCTCTCTCCCTCCTCCCTGGCAAAGACTCAGCTGGCCTCCTGTGACACAAAAACAAGCCCGGTTGTCATGGCAACCTCCTGTAGTCCACATGAAGTGATGCACATTTATTTTTAGATGCCTCCCATTCAAGACAATCAGCAACGGGTTAACGGGTACACTTGTGCCAGAGTTGCAGATATTTCTGGCTGTGTGGTAATCCGAGGCTCGACACATGGAACGTATCAGCGATTGTTCTCACTGCGCCTCAGTCCATGAATCTGTAATGGATGGTTAAT